TTCTCTGTCCTCAGGGAGTTCTCAAACTAGCAAGAAAGAGAGCAATGGTGGTGATTACTATGTGGTGCTGGGATGTGGAATGACTATTTGGCTGAGGACAGTGGAAGAGTTGCACCTCAGAGGGGCAGCGGGGCTAGATGACCCTCCCGTTCTGGGATTCCATGAGTTTAGGAGGCCCACACATGTTGGGAATGGCAGCAGTGCTCGGGAGGGTGCTCACGGATCAGATCTTCATCCAGCTGCCATGGCCCTGTCCTACCCTGCTTCCTCTGGGCCTCACCCTAAGGCCCTCATTAGTCGCCACTTGTCAAAAAGCCCAGCTGGAAGTGAGGACTAACCTTTCCAGAAAAATTTATAAAACAAGAAGACCAACCTGGGGGGTTCAGCTGGGTGTGGGTGGATTAATTGCATAGGAAAATTCAGGTCGGCCACACTCTAACCTTGTCATCATCAGTCTCTGTGTCCTTTCACAATCCATCTCAAACATCTCACTCTGACAACCACCTTGCAGTTTTCCAACTGAATCTAACTCCCAACTACAGCCATTTCTTGATCCCCTGGAACTTCTAATCCAGTGACCCCCAATACCTTTTCACTTAGTCTCAAAACTGTCCGTCACATTTCTCTCTCCCCCCCTTACCTGGTTTACATGTCATGTTCCTTCATGATAATCATTCTTTTACATACACACCCTCCCTTCCATCATACTCACTTGGCAATTCCAAACTTTGGTTACATGGAGATCTCTGCCCAGTTATTTGTACCCAGGTAGATAGATGAGCCTGGTGAGAGCACACAGCTATGCCAACTGTCTCCTTTCATGTTCATGCTTCCTGACCTTGAATGAGGCTTTACTGCTGCCCAACAATCCAACTCTGTTTTCCAAGTCCATTTACTTTCTCACTGTCCTAGATGGCTCACACTTTCTCCTCTCTCCTCAATCTTCCTCACCAGTCCTCAATCTTAGCTGATGATCTTGCTTTGCATTTCATTAATAGAGCATGTCCGTGCCCCCACATGTACCAGCATCTGTGCCCTATATCCCATACATTCTGATTCTCCACTCATTAACCAGGGATGAACGTTCTCTTCTCCTCTTTAACCCCAGCTTTCCACTCATTTGTTGAATCCCACACCCATTCATCTGCTCAGGAACATTGATCCAGCAAGTAGCCCTTTCTCTCCTGTACACCACTTGTTCCTTCCCCTTTGGTTCATGCCCATGAGCATGCAAGCATGCATACTAAAAGCTCGTTGATTAAAAAAATACCTCCCTACCTGGTTAGCTCCTTCCAGTTTCTGCTCCACTTTGTCTCCATTTACTCTCTTTTTATTCTCTCTTGAGCTCACTCCAGACAGGCTTTGGTCACCACAAACCAACACTCTTCTTATCAAGTTCACCATTGACCTCTGTTTGGCCAGGCCTATTGCTCAGTTTCCAGTTCTAATTTGACCCATTTTGGCAGCATTTTTTAGTTAATCATTCTTTCTCGAAGCATTTTTTTTCACTTGACTTCGGAACACCATTGCCTTGTTTACCTCCTGTCTCACTCACTGATCATGCCTTCTCATTCCCTTTCTTGATTCTTCATCTCCCTGACCTCTGAACTTCAGTGTGTCACAGGACCCAGACTTCAGACAGCTCGATTCAGTCTGCCCTCCCTACATGCTGAAGCTCTCCATATGGACATCAGCATCCTAGACTCATCTGACCAGTTGCCCTTGCGACAATTTGACAATTCCAAACTTAAAGTGGTTTGTGTAGAAGACAGGTTTGTTTGTTTGTTTTTGTAGATAAAGAGTCTTGATAAGTTGCCCAGGCTGCTCTTGAATTCCTGGCCTCAAGCACATCCTGCATCTCAGCCTCCTATAGTGCTGGAATTACAGGTATCGATCCACCATGCTCAGCCTTCTCAGAGTAAAAACCTTGACGCATCTTTGGCTCCTCTTCCTCTCTTATGCCTATATCCGATTAATCAGCAAGTTCTATCAGTCTCTCCGTGGGAACACATCCAGAACTTCACCACTTCTCACCGGCTTCACTGCTAGGGCTTTGTACTAGTCAGCGCTCACCAGAGAATAGAACAAATAGGATATAGTGCAGCAGTTATCAACCTGTGGGTCGTGACCTGTATGACCCTTTCACAGGGGTCGCCTAATATCAGATATTTACATTACGATTCATAATGGTAGCAAAAATTATAGTTATGAAGTAGCAATGAAAATAATTTTATGGTTGGGAGTCACCACAAGATGAGGAACTATACTAAAGGGCTGTGGCATTAGGAAGGTTGAGAACCACTGACAGTGCATAGATAGGTAGGTAACTAACTATCCCTATTAGGGGTCCTCAAACTTTTTAAACAGGGGGCCAGTCCACTGTCCCTCAGACCATTGGAGGGCCAGACTGTGGGCCCCGGGAGGAGTCGGCTGCTAAGCAGGACAGGCAGCGGCAGCAAAAACACCTGTGGGCCGGATAAATGTCCTAGGCAGGCTGCATGTGGCCCACGGGCCGTAGTTTGAGGATGCCTACCCTATTTTGATAGATCTTGTATGTATGTTAAATAAGATAAAGAATTGGTTCATACAATCATGGAGGCTGAGAAGCCCCAAGATCAGTTCCAGTCTGAATCTGAAGGCCTGAGAAGCAAAAGAGCCAATGGTATAAATTCTAGTCTGCGTCCAATGTCAGTTCCAGGAGAAGACCACGTTTCTTTCAAAGACAGTCAAGCAGAAATAGAATGAATTCTTTCTTACTCAGCATTTTGGTTCTATTCAGGCCTAAAATGAATGATCCCTCCTCTCTTCCCCAATTAGGGAGGGCTATCTGCTTTACTAAGTCTACAGATTAAAATGTTAACCTTAAAAAAAAAGTTAACCTTATCAGAGAAGCCCTCATAAACACACCCAGAATAACATTTAACTAAATAGCTGGTCCTGGCCTAGTCAGGTTGACACATCTAAATAATCACTGCAGCTCTGTAACTTGCTCATCTGCTTTTATCTTTGTTCCTTAATCTAGCCTCCACATAACTGGATTTTAAAAATAAGCCTCATTATTTAGCACCTCTGCTAAAAATTCTTCAGTGTCTTCTCATCTCAATCAGTATGAAACTGGACCATCATGACCACCAAGGCTCCCCGTGCTGTGTTCCTACTCTTGGTCCCAGGGCTGTCACTCTTCCCCCACTCTTTCTGTTCTGCTCACACTGACGTTTTTTCCAAGAAGCCAGTCATGCTCCTGCTCTGGGTCATTACACTTGCACATCCTTAGGCTTGAATGGTCTTAATCCAAATATTCACCTTCTTCCCCCCCTCAGTGATTTTCTTATCTCAGAGCCTTGCAATACAAAAATGTGACCTATTTTTTAAAATGCAGTACCCCTCATCCCTCCTATTTCACTTTCTTGTAAAATTAACTGTATTTTTTTGAACAGTTTTAGATTTACAGAAAAATTGCTGCATGGCATGTAAAGAGTTCCCATAAATTCCATTCCCACATTTCCCTATTATTATCCTCTTATCAGTAGTATGGTACACTCATCACAACTAATAAACCAATCTTAGCGCTTATAATAATTGCCTTAGTTTTTATGTAAAGTCCTTTTTCTGTCCCAGGATCCTCGGGCTGGGCTAGGCTGTGCAGGCTTCCCTTGTTTGATGACCTTGACCGTGTTGCCGAATGTGAGTCAGGGGTGTCCACTGAAATGTTGTTTGATATTTTTCTCACAATGAGGAATGTCAGTCAGGTGTGTCCACCATTGAAATTTTGTTCTTCTCACAGTAACTGAGGTTATGAGTTTTGGGGAGCAAGGCCATTTTCATCACATCGCATTAGGAGTACCTGTCGGCAGTACGATTCATGACCGCCAAGTTGCTCTCGGGTACCTGGCTGAGCCGGTGGGTGTCAGTGGATAAAGCTACCCTTCCTCCCCTCTCCACAGTGCACTTTTCTGCAAGTCATTATGCGTAGTCCACACTTAAAGCGTGGAGAGTTATTCCTCTCCTTCTTGAAGGTGGTTTATTTAATTATTTGAATTCCTCTGCAAGGGAGATTAGTCTCTTTTCCCCATTTCCTTATTTAGCCAATCATTCATTTATATCAAAATGGACCTACAGTATGTTTTACTTTGAGTTATAATCAAATAATATTTTATTTGCTTTGTATTTGCTCAAATTGTTCCAGCTTTGGCACTGGTAACGCTTCCGTTTGGTTCCTGTGTTTCTGACGGTCCTCCATCCAGGCAGGATTTGTTGATTTTTGTTGCTTTGTTTTGCTTTTTAACACTTCCTTTCTTTTAAGCCTTAGCCTGGTTTTTCAAAGTACTTACTTGTCACCACCTGGCATAATGCGCGCGTTCTCGATTTGTCTCCCTGCGCTGAAGTGCCAGGCCCTCGAGGGCAGTCGGGACAGTATCTTTCGCCCACAGTGGTGCGGTCAGCGCCCAAGCGGACGTGATCTGACGTTGGGTGAATACGCGCCGGCGGGTGTTGAGGCCGATTTGAGGGGGGCTCGTCCGCGTGGGTTCTGGGAAGGCGGCGCCGCCTCGGGTGACTCGCCGCCCGCCCGCACGCCCGCTCGCAGGTCCCCGCGGGAGCAGGACCCGCCGCAGCCCCTCGCGGCCACACCCACGCTCAGAACGGCGCGGAGCGTCTCTGCGCGGAAACGGACTGCAAATGTCAGCAGCGCAGCGGGGATTCCCAGGGAAAGTCCGGCGCGCTCCTCGCCTCGGGGACCGCGGGATGAATGGAAGAAGTGTCTGGGGCGGCAAGCACTCCCCGCCCGCCCTGGGCCCGCCGCCCACGGGGACCCCGAAAGCCGCGAGTGCGGCGTGGGTTCCGGGCAGTGTGGAGCTCGCTGAGTCCAGGCGGGGCGGGAACCGGCGCGCAGGGACCGCCGCGCCCCAGCGCTGTCACCCCGGGGCGGGGCCTGCTCTCCAGCTGTGGTCGCTTCCGAAGCGGCGGGGGCTGGGCCGGCGGCGCCCAGATGCGGCCGCGACGGCGCGGAGCTCGGGCGGCCGTGGAGAAGCCCAGCCTCGGCAGCGGGAGGCGCCGGGAGCCGGGCCGGCGGGAGTCGCGTGACAGGTGTCGGTCTCCAGCGCGGCGCCAGCGCGGGACCCGCGCCCGGGCAGGAGAGGGGCTTCGGGGCTCGCAGGCTCACTCCGGCTGCTGGTTCGTTTTTCTCTCCTTGGGTCCCCTTTTCTCTTCTCACTCCTCCTGGGGGGAAGGACGCACCCTCCTGGGCTGTGCCGGGTGGCGGGGTGGCGAGGCCGAGGGACCTGCGGGGATGCGACCTGGGAGGGACTGTCGCCCGCCGGGGGACGGTCCTCTGTGCCTTGGGGGTGGGAGGACCTTCCGATCTGGCCCAGGTCCTCAGGCCGCCTCCAGTTACCTTAGGGAACACAGTATTGGGTTTCTCACGGAGAGTGGAATGGTTTGTTATCTCTAACTTCTGGAAACGAGGGATTTAGCACTTCGGAGGACTACTTCAGAGACAGGCTGCCTTTCTCAAGTATCCAATCCAGACAGTTTTTGTTACGTCAAAAGGCTGAAGTGTTGTTTTAATCAGTGGAGACATTATTTCAGTTTGATCACCTCCTCACTTCCTATTAGGCTTCAACTTTCTCAAAAACACCAGAATGGGTACCTCTCGACTTGAACTTGACAGTATGACTCAGAAGCCGGGCAGTACAGGGAGACTGGCACCGCCTAGAAACAGTTCCTTCCAAGTGCACCTAAGACTTTGTTTTAGAAGAATGGGGAGAGCAGCAGTGGCTATGCCTGAGAGAACCACGCCGTCCCCACACCGTCCCAGGGGGAATTCTCTTTTTGTAGAGTCCCAGCTGAGATCTGTATTACTTCCTGTGGTTCTCACGCACTTGTTATAAGACTTTTCTCAGCAGAGGGAGGAGTTGTTATTTCCACATGAGTATCCAAAAATGAGTCACAGGGCTGCTCTCTTAATTGTGAAGCTTTGTTAATGAACTTTTGAGAAGTGAAGTTTGCTCTGTCTGTACATAAGATTCTAGAAGCCAACTGCCTGCCTGCTAAACTGGGGCGGGCTGTGTGGGAAGTAACAATTCAAGTTTTCAGTTTCCTAAAGCGCCTGATAGTACCACATACCAGCCAGGGTCACTGGGCTGATCTAAGATAACCATAAAAATCATGTGCTTTGCCACAGAAGCCCAAGAGAAAATTAATTTCATTATCAATAACCGTTTTTGCTATTGTTTTCACGTATGGTAAAAATACGTCATTTTTCTTAGTGATTGTAAGTTAATCTGAAATTCAGATATTTGAGGCTGTTTGCCATCGCTACATTAGTGTTAAAACCACATAAAAATCTGTGAAGCAGGTGGTGCTAGTGGGAGCCAAGAAATTAAAATGTTGAAGCCAACAGGTCCTATTGCCATGGGTAGCATCTTAGGAGTGGAATAGGAAGCAGACAGCAGAGAACAGCCCCACAGCTGGGTGGAGCTGAGTTCAGCCCCAGTCAGCAGTTAGCAGTTATCTCTGAGCAAGCCTCTCCCCTGAGCTCTGGTTCTACAACCATGAATCCTACCGACAGGGGCCTTAAAGATTAGTGGGGAAGGCCAGCAAATCTACTGGAAAATCTAATATAATGAAGTGAATGCTACAATTAATCTGTGCCTGGAGTGGAATTACTGCCCCAATATGACTGATGGTTCTGCCCATCTGGGATTTGGAATGGACTGGATCATTCCTGAAAGAACAAGGGAGCTTTTGCATTTAGTCATCTGCTTTTCTTTGTAGGCAGCCTATTCATTTCTATGATTTAAAAATATGTTAATTAAAAAGGCACGATTTTTAAAGTGCTTCAATTAATCATATTTCCTATTATTTAATAACCATATAAAAATAAACCCAGGCTATTATCACCCCTTGGCAATTACACGTGTTTTTAGTCATTACCTTTTCAGAAATAGTGTAACTAATTAATACTTTATAACTTTACAATACTGTATTGAAGCAACTTTTTGATCACTGTTTTTATAGTTCTGGTTCATCTTTTTAAACACACTAGCTGTATGAGTCAGATGAGTAAATTTGTTATATCCCCATTTACTGTTGGGATTGAAATCTACTGAAGTGCTTTTGTACTTGCTGCCAAAATATATTAAATTTCCCCAATTCTCTAAGGTAGCCAACTAGTGAAGGAAACCATACTCAATTGGAGATAACTTTACATTAATTTTCATACTTTGTTTCTCTCTTGAGAGCCTCAAACTTATTATTTCTATGAGAAAGAAAGGATTGAGTATGTTATTCATCATTGTACTCCCTGAACTTGGCAGAGGCTTGATTCATGCTAAAGTGTTAGGATGTGTTTATTGATTAAATACTGAACCTCGATGTAGGAGAAGGAATTGTCAGGAAGATGGTTGGGTAGGTGACCCGGTAGAAGGAACAGCATGTACAGGGAAATGGAACAGCACTGAGCGGTCATGAAGCTCCAGTGTGGGCACAAAGGGTTGGGCAGGGGCTGGAGGAACAGGCAGGACCAAGTCATAATGGCCCAGGGGCCAGGTAGGAGCTGTGAGTTTTTATCCTCTGAGGCCTTTGGGAGCAAGAAAATGATATTGTCTTTTACATGTTGAAACAACAATCATAAGAACAAAACTTAGAACTTATAAAGCATGGAATGGGTTAGATAAGAGTGGCATTGGCCTTAAAGAAGACTTAAATCAGGCAGTGACAATGAGGAATAGAAAAGAGGGAAGGACCTGGCAGATTTTTTTCCCTCTTTGCAAGGCCCATCACTTCAGAACAGATGTTTAAGAGGCAGAACGCAGTTGTATTTAAGAGTAGGCCCTGAGGAAGGGGCAAGAGTTTAAGATGACTCTCACACTTCTGTTTAATGATGAAAACATCCTACCAAGTGGGAGAGTAGGATTGGCCTACAGGATGCTGAGAAGCTCGCACAGTAATTGATGAAACATAATCAGTTTTCTTTAAAAATTTTCAAGGGAATAATAACAGCTAAAATTTATTGAGTGTTTGTTATGTGCCAGGCACTATCCTAGGCTCATTACATGGATTAAGCCTTTTACTCCTCACTGCAATCCTGTAAGGTGGGCACTCTCCTTTGACAGGGGAAGAAAATGCCTCAAATTGATTGCAAGCACCTGGCTCTGGAGCTTGCACTCTGAACCACTCTGCTACGATATGTTGTTTCACTGAATGAGCGAGTGGTGTTTTGGATGTTGTGGCAAATTAAACTGGACTAGCCCAAAACCTGAAATGCCATGGGCAGCATGACACCCCTTCCTGTTACCTTCATTCCCAGAGATACCTGATTGATCTAGGAATGTACCTGGAACAATCAGACATTTTCTTCTGGAAATTTAAACATTTCAGGGGAGACTCACAGTGTCTCAGGATTCCCAGGACTTAACCATTGTGCTGGCATGGCTGCCTTGTCACCACCTTCCCAGGCACTGGATGCTTACTTAGCACTTGTGTTTCTTAGAGGCCCTCAATGCTTTGTTGCTAAGATCTTCCAGAGGGAAGCAAAAAGGCTGGCAAGTGGGAGGATTAATCTCAAGCAAGATCAAATTATGGAAGAATCAATCACTAGCAAATGCAAGCATGTACATAACCGCTCCAGGTCTCACATTCCTGGGTTGGGGTCTGCCTTCTGGGGCATTTTGGTCTGGTTTACCATGATCTTGGTGCCTTCCTTCTTCCCGCTCTCACTTCCAGAAGCTTATTAAGTGAACTTGATCCTGCTGTGTCCTCTGTCCTCTTGATTTTAGCTTGGCAAATGATTCAGAGATCTTGGGTTCAGATCCTTCTTTCTATCTGGGGTCTCCAAATAGATTCCTTTGGTCCTGACAAAGATATTTTGACTGACAACTCTGCTGGCTTGCAAGTCTGATCTCAACTCTTCTCACTGTTTGATGATTCATCCCACCCTGGCTGGGACGAATATTCTTATTTTTTTATTTAGCAAGCAGGGTCTAATTATTTTTTTCCTCAAAGGCTTCTCCTTTGGACCATTTAAGGATCATAAACACTGAATGAATGTACCCAAACTGAATCAGCAGACTCATTTATTAAAGTTTTAAAATGTGCAAATGTCTAAAACTCAGTTTTAAAATGTTTTCTCCCCATATGAATTCAATCTTTTATTCAACATTTCTTCATATTTATTAGGAAATCATGATATTTATAGTTGCCTGTTGGATAAGAGCGACATGAAGCTTTCTTCCGGGGCGGCTGGACCACGTTTACCCCTTGGTCTGGATTCCTCTTCTTCTGTCTGCAAGTCATTTAGTGTTCACGTGACGAGAAAGGGAAGGGTCTTGGTTAATATTTCTTGTGGGTTTGTCTTGCCTTTTCAATGCAACAGTGGTTTCCCTGAGAGCAGAGAATCGCTAGAGTTAGGGGCTTGTTCTGTCCTCCCTTAGGTACCTCCCGCCAGGTCTAACCACGCTGTGACTTTTGCTCATGATAAAACCATCTGTCAGGGTTGGTCACTTTTTGGCTGCTCCTTTAGAATCTATGCCTACCAGACATTATTTGTGTGTCTCATTCAACTTCTTTTAAGTCTTCATAATTTGTCATTTTTAATATGAATTAGAGTTTTAGAATTGATAATTCTCAATTATTCTTTCTGAGCAGATTATTCTTCCTGAGCAGATATTTTTAAATGGATTTATGGGGGTTTTGTTTTTTTTTTAGTGGATCAGGATAATCAAGAAAACACTAAGTGCCCTGAGATCTATTTCCCATTTTGTAGGCCTGAGTGTTTTACTTGTTTCCCTTTTCAAAGATGGAAAGTGGTGTTCCAGTCCTCCTTGCATAACTTATTGGGTAATGATGTGATTTTTTTAGCTATTCAGAACAGTGGAACTTGCTCTGTTGCTATCTTCTCATGGAAAAGGTGAACAAGTATTTTGTTCTGTCTTCTGTTTCAGTTTCAGGATTGCAGCAATGCCTGCCTCTTCTCATGATTTCCTTGTGACTCTCTACTATGCACCTCATTATGTTGATTAGGGACACAAATCTATTGATTTGGGATAAAGTAGGACACAGTGTGTGGCTGAATTCTGAATTTTACTACATTTCCCATCTCCTCCTCCCTTCCCTGATTACTGTGTGTGGTAAACCAACGTACGTGTGTATAATGATGTTTAGCTGACAATATG